GGGACAGAAAGACATTCTCATGAACTTCCGGGATGATGGTATGGACGCAGATTTTGTCTTTTTTTGTGCAGTTAATTGTATTTTTCGGGACATTTCATTTCCATAAAAACAAATGGGCTGACTCCAAACCACATTTTGTACATTTCTATCAATACTTTAAACAATATATTAGCACGATAAAACACATTAGGAATAAGAAGGCAACGAATTTGATATTTAAAAAATATTTGAAATAGTATCAGAAATGTAGTTTGCTTTCCTTTTTAATTTGTTCATGTATGATATTGAATAGATAGATCAATGCAAATAAAATAATAATCTAATATAATGTAATCACTCGACTTTTATGGGATTTGTATTATATTTAATACATATGTTTTACTGTTTTGAAAATTCTTCTCACGTGTTTTTTCACAGCCGGTGTTATATTAATAATATATATATACGTTAGTTTTTAATTCTACTAGTTTTAAACATTTAAAAATAATTCTACTTGACCACAGACAAAGTAAAATATCAAATATATTATTATTATTTATTATAATTAATCCCAATCCATATACTTTATTCATTCTGGGGGGAAATATGGTTTCATCAAAGTTGATTTATTTAAGAATAAAATATAAAAGACAAGATTAAATACAATATATATATTAACACAAATACAAAATGTGCATTAAATATACACACATATCTTTATTACAATATATATATAGTTGTGTATTTGTATTAATTGTGAATATTATAAGTGTATATCTTTTTAGCCCAGCCGTGATTCTGCTATAGAGCTGCAGGAGAAACAGAGCAACAGCGCCCTCTGCTGGAGGAACGGCGGTACTGCGGATGGAAATCACAAATAATACTAGAAATAGGAAAAAAGGATGATTCAGGGTGTCGGTAACATTCTCCATCTTTAATGAGTTCACACGCTTGTTTCAGACGTTACAGAGAAATAGGAAATAATACAAAAAAACATTCAAAGTTTCATTTTGGTCGACATTCGCACCACTTCCTGTTGTCTTATTCAGACTCTCCTCCGACTGCTCTTTTGTTGTTGTTTTCTTTTGGTCTTGTAAACAGGAAGTGTGGAGCTGAAATGTTATTATGGGATGAAATACTGACGACCAGTTGCTGATGATCTCAGGCTGCAAACTGCACTTTGTTTTGTTAAATCATTGACAATCAAGCGTCACAGAAATGTCCCTCACAAACTGCAGAGGACGTCTTTGAACGCAACACGAATATTTAGTCTTAATAGCCGAAAAATAAGTGTTTCCTGTTTGAAAAAAAACGTTTAAACTCGGGACGAAACACCGAAGATCTCCTGAAGCCTCAGAAACCACGGAGTACTTGTTGGAGTATTATCTGAAGTATTACTTGCTCTTCTTGTCGGCGCCCAGCGCGTCGTGAAGCTTGGAAACACTTTTCTCGAACGGGTCCATGTCGAGCGTCCCTTCTTCGTCGAAAAACGCAGACACGGACTCGGTGAACTCGGCGTCGCGAGTCTTCTTGGTTTTCCCGTCAGTGAAAGAAACTCTGAGCGAGTACTGGTCGTCAAACCTGAGGCACATACAAATATATATATTAATAAATACAAATACAGATAAATAATTACTAAATAAATAAATATTAATAATACAAATAAATATAATTGAATCCAAATAATCCAAATATATATAAATAATTAAAAACATGAATAAATAATAATAAATTGAATTTAAATAGCGCTTTTAATAAATAATAACAAATATATATATAAATGAGTAGCTCTCTGTTCGGAGCGCACTCATATTGGAGTTAAGCATAGAAACCTATCACGGCTTCCGGTTGAGAAACGTCTGCAATCTCGTGTTATCACTTTTCTAAAATTTCCAATTTAGCAAAAAACCACTGTATTTTTATGATCAAAGTTTACACAAGAGACGAGCATGACCATCAGACTAGACACGCTACATCAGGCCATCTACGGGCACCTAAGGATAAACCTTCTGTGACTTATCGAGCTATAAAGGAACTCATTGCCAAACTACCTCGCTGAAATAGAGTCCAGAGCCTCTTTCAACAAGAGATCGAAGGGCCATCTACTGATGAGCATGTAGCCCTTACTGTGAACCCTAATGTCATGCTTGGTACTGGTGGGTGTCTTGTGCTCATCCTTGGCTGAGTTTGATATTGAAAGAGGATGAGATTGTTGATGATGTTGTTAATGTTGTTGTTGATGATGTTGTTAATGTTGTCAGAGGCCTGTACTACGAAGCAGGATTCTAACTTCAGGGAACACTCGGGGTTTCCGGTCCTACGACGCTGGTTCTCTTTTTAGCAGGCTAGATCTCCATGGTAACTGATGCTGAGTGGCTAACCTGCTCCGGAGTAGGTTAGGTTGCAGGCGTGGACCCGCGTCGTAGGACCGCTTAGCGAGAGCGCGTATGTTTTGGATTAGGCCAACCGGCTAACTCAAACGTATCCAGGTTAGGTTGAACCGGCTTCGTCGTACAGGCCTCTGGACTTATGTCTTGAATGTTGTTGTATTGTTTTAAGTGTCGGACCCCAGGAAGAGTAGCCTTAGTCAAGAGCAAAAGCTACTGGGGATCCTAAATAAACATAAATCAATACAAATAAAAAATATGAATAAATCAAATAAACATAATTAAATAAATACAAAATTATAACAAATACTAATAAATATAAATAGTAAAAAACATAAATTAATATAAATGATTGAAACATAAATAAATATAAATGTAAGTCAATACTAAATAATAATTATTATGTATTTAATTAAATAATTAAAAGTATTATTATAATTTGTTCTGTGACCATGACCTAATGGGGGGGGGGTGTTTGTCTTTCCTTTAACAGACACATTGTCCTGTGCTAAAGAAGGTACATGTAAATGAATGAATATGAAAATAACTGAATGTGTATAGAGCCAGTACGGGGTCGGAGCAGTGCATGCTGGGAGCTGACCGTTTGAGGGAGGAGCAGAGCGTCCAGCTGTGATCCGGGTCCATGCCAGCCGGGTCTTTCTGATGAGCCACCAGGAAGATGTTCTTCTCCCGGTACGACGTGTACAGCGTCAGCACCGCCATCATGATGAAGTACGTGGGCCGGGTTAAGGACAACAACAACAACAACAACAACAACAACAACAACAACAGGCCATAAGACTGATAAACACCTGAACTACAACATCCATACCACCACTATGTGCAATATAAATACCATCATTACAAAACACTCGATATAACACGTGCAATATCATTATTATTAGTGTTCTATGATAACGGGTAATTACGTATCTGCCACTACGTTTCTTTACATGAATGATGTCACCGTCTGTTTCCTGTAGTTACTTAATGCTCTTTTCACTATTCTGTCAGTGTACAGTTTGATTATCATGCTGCTGTGTTTATTGTGTTTTTGTAACTCTGGCACGACCATTTCCTTCAGGATGAATAAAGTCTTATCTTAACATTCACCTGTTTGCATCTTACACAGGATGTATCACTTCGATATGGACTCTCCTTGCTTGCTCTGTTGAAGGAGCCAATTTAATAAATATATAATCAGACTTTAGTTCCACCTGGAGTAAATCCACCAGCTACCCTGCAGTATACAAAGTCATTCAAACTAGCTGCACCTTTACCAGCTTTGAGAACACTTTCATGATCAATCATTATAAAACATATCATATATATTATTCTGAAATGGACCAATCTGCACAATGACTACTTTTACTGTCTTTAACTATATTTTGATTAGAATACTTTTCTATTTTTACTTGAGGAACATTTTGAATGCAGGACTTTTACTGTAACAGAGTATTCCTACACTCTGGTACTTCTACTTTTACTCAAGTACAAGATCTGAGTACTTTGATGTTCTAGACTCATGAAGATGAAAATGAGTTCATGTTCTAGACTCATGAAGATGAAAATGAGTTCATGATCTAGACTCATGAAGATGAAAATGAGTTCATCTTCTAGACTCATGAAGATGAAAATGAGTTCATGTTCTAGACTCATGAAGATGAAAATGAGTTCATGTTCTAGACTCATGAAGATGAAAATGATGTTCTAGACTCATGAAGATGAAAATGAGTTCATGTTCTAGACTCATGAAGATGAAAA